AGTTTCCCTCTGTCAGTGATAAACTTGAATTTACTTTTACAGTTCAGACATAGGGATAGTCTAGGAGTGGGTTATTGAAAATTGGGTTTGGGGCAGATAAGTAAAACAGCCACACATATTTTTTTTCTGAAGCTAGTCTGTATTAGTAATGACAGACATTTTCCCTCTCCTCTCAGTTGCCTGAATTCTAGTGATTTTTTCCCATATTTTACAGCTGTGCAATGAATAATACACTGTGAAAGAGGCTGCAGAATATATTTGTATGAAGATAAAATATCCTTGGAGCACAGCTCAAGTGAAGCTGCATGCAGAGGGGATCAAAGAGGTGAGCAATTGTTATTTTGGCCATATTAAAGTCAATATAAACACTGCGTGTGCTGGTGTTATAAATATATATATATATGCAAAGAAGAAAAGGTTGGGGTAGATCTCTGAACAAACCCCAAATAATCACCTGGGCTTATGTATTATGGATGCATTCTTAAGACCATTGCTCAGTGGCACCAGACAGTACTGTAGGCATCAAATGAAGTTATAAATTCCATTCATATTCTAAATTTGTTTTACAGTGTTGGAAAATCACATTCACTGCTTCATCCAATGGCAACTTTAAAATGTAACCTGCAGTCAACCTATCCTGCAGGTAAGCACAAAGCTCACACAGAGGTGACTGAGGATCTGAGCAACACTTTTAAAATGAAACTGAGAGCTTTCCATATTTGTTTTGCACGTTTTGAGGTTTTCTTACAAACTTGCACCATAAAATATTTCACTGTGTACTGAATTAAATTACTTATATCTGTAGGACAGTGTGGGGACAGAAATCAGCCAAATTTAAGTGGTTGAAAGTGTCTTTTTCTGTCTTGCTTCTGTTTGAAGGAAATTTTGTTTCACTGGGGGTTTTTTGGGGGTTGATTTTTTTTGTTTGTTTATTTGTTTGGTTTGGGGTTTTTTAACTTCTATCATGATACTGACTCTTTAAAATACTCAGAAGCCTTTAGATAAAAGACACTGCAGCACAGCAGACTCTGGTTGACTGATACTTATTTAGTTATATTCAACTATCAGCCGTGCTACAGACTTTTCAAGTAGTATCGGTCAGTTAAGTTAAGCCCTGTGTCAAATGAAAATACTGGAGATTACTTCCAGTTCCTCTTTGCTGTCAACTTAGCCTGTTGGGTATTTGACTGTAGTATAGTGGTTGACAAGTATAAAATGCTGCCAAAATGAAGCCCTGAACAGGGCCTGTAAACAACACTGCAACAAGACAAAGTTAATAGTTTGACATGGAGATGGTACAGCTTGGTGTGTGTATGTTAAGTGAGGCGACACATGGTCCTCTGTAGTCTGAGATATCCCCAGGTCAAGGAGTTTTAGTCAGATTGGTCAGGTGAAATCTGCTCCAGTTCCTCCAGGCACTATATAAGCAGCATCTTAAGGATTTATGGGCACAAAAACTGCCTTGAAGACAATGTTTTGTATAGAGAAAATCTCTGCTTTCTCAGTGCTGCTTATGAAGGCCTGCTTGCAGCAGCAGCTCTGCCATTCTCTACTCTGAAGTGCCTTTCCTCCCTTCTGCTGCTTTCCCAGCCACCCATTCGTGGGATCAGATGGGATAGAAAGCAGGAAGGGTTGCTGCAGGAAGGTATGGTAGAATGAAACTCTGACATCCTTTATGTTGAATTAAAATCAAGTGCTGTTAATTAAAGATACTCTCCTGCCAGGTGTAGATTAGCCCAGGACTGCGCTGCTGAGAGTGTTGGGGACAATAAAAAAAACCTAATTCAAACCTACCAGAATTTAAATTCAAAGCATCTTTGCTTTGCCTGCAAATGACCATAGCATCATTGGCAGCAGCTGTGCAGCCTGTGGGCACAGTTCTGTTGTTTTTATGTCTGTGCCAGCAAAGTGCTCCTTAGCCTGGGAGGAGGCACCAGGCTGTGGCTGTGCAGAGCTCATGTGGAGCCCCCTTGGCCCTGGCCCTGCATGCACAGACTGAGAACAGATGTGAACTGCTGACTCGGTGCATGAGGGGGCTACAGAGAGAGAGTCATATGTGGAACTACTTCATACTCATCCCTGGTTTGTGAAGTGTTTAATCACTCCACCACAAATAATATATGGAATTAATGACTTCATGTGATGTCCTTTACACCTGAGCAGCTCAGCAGCTTTTTTTTTTTTTTTTTAATAATGTATTAGATACAAATCACGTGATCTTATGTGACCTAGACACTGTCACACTGAAGCTTTACAGTTAAAAATTACAAGAAATATCTTGGACAACTCAGGCATTATTTTAGAAACGTTAGGCACCCATTTTGTGTTCTTAGTGCAATCTTAACTTGTTGTTTACAGTTAGGTGCTGTTAACAAATCCAAATATTTTACAGAATGGGAAACACTGCTTGCAAGTCTCTGTTTTCATACAATGTGCAGGTGATGGTTTCAGGAACAAAGTGCCTATGAATGCTTCATATTACAGAAGTAAAACTTAACATCCAAGGCAATGCAGATCATGTTTTAACAGTTTGGTTCTGATCTTACTTATAATTTTTCATTTTTCTCCTGCACACATATAGACCTTTTTCTATCATGAAGCTAAAAGATGCAGGCAATATTTTTTGCTGCTAGTGGTGCATAATAATTTTCAGAAACAGATCTCCAGCTACAGGGTTACTGTTTTGTTAGCTGAAGTGTAAGTGTGCTTCGTTACTTCTTAAAATATATATGCTTGTATATGTATATAAAAATAATCTCTCTTAATTATTGCAGAAATAGATAAGATGCTGTTACTATCAATACTTCATGGATATTGTGGTAACAGCTGATTTTAGAGCCCTGGTGGTGGCAAAACAGTTCCACATTGAACCAAAATTACACGTATTCTCAGGATACCAGTGTGGAATTGCACTGAACTCGTAGAGTTCTTAGTCCTCTAGTTCCCAGAGAGGACCAGGGTGGGTAATGGAAGGAACTTTATAAAGTAAGGGATTTCTGAGCAGTCACTCTGTAGCTGACCGCTAAAGTACTCCAGAGTCTGGCATCTCTTGCAAATTACAATTGGGTAGTTGGCATATTGCTCACAGTAGGAGACGCAACAGTGTCATGCCTTCTCTCCCTCTTCATGTGTGATGCCACAAAGACATCTACTTGTGAGGAATTTTGCTGCTTGGACATGAGTTGTGATAAGCATTTGCAACCTGAGGGGAATGGATGATTAAACCATCACTTAGGCGCCAAAGATACGATTGGTACAGTCTATCAGTCACGTGAATTGTGATTGGCCTGTTGCAATGGAATAGCCTTTAACAGAAACAAAATGAAAGCTATTTACCTTCTGAATGGATTTTACATAGTTGCACAAAAGGGAAAAGGAACAACAAAAGAAGAGAGGAGAGAATAGAAAAGAAGAGAAAGATTCCCACCAGCTCTTCCCCTCCAAAATTAGCATTGGCATTGGTGAAGTCACACACAAAGGAAAGTCTCACTTTCTTTGTGCTTCTCACAATGACATCAACATGCATGGCTATGAGATGACGAGAGAATACCTCACTCACAATGAGTAACAAATTAGAATTTTCTTCAAAGCAAAAAAAATGATAACACAAGACCATCATAGGTATATGCTAACTCTTTCAAAACATCTCTTTTGAACTCTATGTCAGTTCAGATCATTTGGCTGGCAATCTGTCCTATCTAATACAACACAGGGGATATTCTGAATAGGCTGAAGAATGTCTACTTGGCTGGAACATCTGCCAAAAATAAAATTGGCCTTTTTTTTTCAACATGGTTATCTACTTTCAAATTACGCCATAGAATAAATAGTGATATTCCATGGGTAGAGGTAGATTATGGGGTTGAAATAATCAAATTGAAGCCCCGTAATTTTGTGTGCTATAGGAGGAGTCTCATAAAACTGAGATATTCCCATAATTAACCACTAGCCATGGGATATTATAATATATTCCATGGTGACTAGTATTTTTTCCGTTTCCCTCCCCCCTCCCCGTAGAATTAGTATGGTTAATTTTACTCTGGTTTCACCTATTGCTAATAAGAATCAGTATAATTAAAAATAAGAATACCATATCATGAGGCGATCACTGTTTAGGCCAAACCAGCCAGTAATGACCAGTCAGACCCTTTCCAGTTGGCCTTTGCTGCTAGAAGGTTGAAAGAGCTGTAACTCACCAACCCATACTTGCAAAAGGAGCATGTTTTAGAAAATGTGGTTCAAAACTCTTCATAGTTCTAAATGCTAAATTCTAGTGGAATATTATAGAATAGATTGATTTGCATGCCATGGAATAAACATCCTTACATCTAGTCTTGTCTCAGAGTGAGTCATTTTGCATTAGTGTCAAGAATTTGAGCTGTTGTTCTACTTTGCAGTTAATCATCAGAAAGAGACGGGATTGTCTCATGAATATGCATGATGGTATAGTTGTTCCTTCAACTTACTAGGCACCTAGTTTCTGTAATGAGATGTACAATATCTGCCATTTAAAACAGCTGAAAGATCCCAAATGGGAACAAATGAGAAAGCATCTGGCTGTTTCGAATTCCAGCCCTGTTTTGTCAGAAAACTCTGTAATTGCTGAGTACTTGGCTCCTACTCTGCTCTATGAAGCATTCAGCTCTCAGGAGCCTCTGAGATGCTTTACACAGTCCAGCAACACAGCTGTAGAACTCTCAAAATTCTTCCACTAGATGTAACAGCTTTTCAAAATATCTTGAGACTTGTATGCCCTTAACCAGGACCAAAGTTTGGGCTCCTAGAGCATGCTCTCATCCTCAGTTTTGCTGATCAGCCTCCACTGTACCATTTGTCCCTGCAACCTAGACTTCACACATATTATTCACTGTGTGATGGTGGGACTAGAATGGATAAATGTGCTACCCATTGCTCTAAGAAAGCAGTCTGGCTGAATCTTAAATCACTACGCGGGATGGAGGTTAACGGTCAGATGGACATTCCTCTAAGAGGTTTCCTACCTGCTCTGTTAATTTCTAAAATTTCTTCTTGGGCCAGTGGGCAAGTGTCGCTCTGAGTACTGTGGTGTGGAGAGTTTACGACAGATTTACAATAATTGGGGGATCCCAGCTGGGGTGGCCTCGGGATATGCTTCTTTTTTTTCTTTGGTAGCTTCTGCTTAGCCATAGCTAAGGAGTAATACATTCCGAAATTGTTCACAATGACAGGGACAGGCATGGCAATGGTCAGCACACCAGCGAGAGCACAGAGGGCCCCCACCAGCATGCCTGACCAAGTCTGAGGATACATGTCTCCGTAGCCCAGGGTCGTCATGGTGACAACAGCCCACCAAAAGCCGATGGGGATATTTTTAAAGTGTGTGTGTTCACTGGCACTAGGGTCATTTGGTTTAGCACCTATTCTCTCGGCATAATAGATCATCGTGGCAAAGATTAAGACGCCCAATGCCAAAAATATGATGAGCAGCAAGAATTCATTTGTGCTGGCACGGAGGGTGTGTCCCAAGACCCGCAACCCAACGAAGTGGCGGGTCAGCTTGAAAATTCGCAGGATTCGCACGAAACGGACTACGCGGAGGAAGCCCAGGACATCCTTAGCAGCTTTGGAAGACAGGCCACTGAGTCCAACCTCTAGATAGAAAGGCAGTATGGCCACAAAGTCAATGATGTTCAAAGAGTTTTTGATAAATTCCACCTTGTTTGGGCAGAAAGTGACTCTCATCAAGAACTCAAATGTAAACCAGACCACACAGACACCTTCGATGTAGGTGAGAAAGGCTTCAGTCTCTGCTTCCCTGTAGTGCCGCACCTGGGTGTCATTCCCGATGAATTCAGTTTCTGTCTTGTTCACAATGGGGTTAAATCTCTCGTGGGTCTCGAGGCAGAAGGTGGTGATGGAGACCAGAATGAAGAACAAGGAGGCAAATGCCACATACTGTGGAAAGAAAGATATGAGAGAAATATTAAACAGTAAGTTCACTACAGGGGCTTTGATTCTGAAACATCAGGGATAGACAAGGGCTGTATTAAAACTAAAGACAAGGCCAAGCCTATGGGCTTAAGATGCCAAGTCTCACCTAGAAAGACAGCTTAACATTCAAACTGGGAGGGAGAGAAGGATATAAGTACATGCTAAAATCCTTCCTATGCAGATAGCGCCTTACTGTGAGCGTAACTTGAAGCAAGCATTTCAATCTCAGAGCTTTGTTTGGGATTTAAGGTTAAGGACATATTGAAATTCTAGTTTCCTGAACTTGGTCTTCTCTTACTGCCTTGCCTCAAAGACAGAGCACAGCTTCTGGGACAGTTGCCATGCAAGACTTTTCCCAGCATTGTGTCAGTGGCTGCCTCCTGTTCCCAGCTGAGTGACAGCTGTGGTATTTCAGATCTCAGCAAGGGGCTAGTAAATACTAGGGGCAGTCTCAAGTGGGCTCTACAGCAAGGAGCAGAATCCTGTTTGGCATCATTAGACTTTCTTGCCAAATCCCAGGGATAGGTTGAGAACAGTCATATCAAACTCCTAAAGCAAACACCTCTGTTCTCAGTTCCCTTCTCCAGATCTTTTGGGAGTAGGGGACAGGGAGCGTAAGAAAGAGGTTTCAGGTAAGCCTGTCAGCTGATCCCAAAGGAGACAGATCTATTGGCTTTTACTAGGCATGGTTTTCTTGAAATTCTCATTACAACATGAGACTTGTATCAGAACTAGATGAATCCTTGTTTTAAAGGATGCTGGATTACAGTTTGGTTCCTCAAGTTACAGTGAAGGTAGTAGCAGCCCCCAAAGTCAATGAGTGTCTATCTTATGAGTGTTTCCCTCTTCTGCTTCAGTTTCTGCTTTTCAGAGAATCATAGAATGGTTTGTATTGGAAGGGACTTAAAAAATGATCTAGTCCAATCCCCCTGCCATGAGCAGGGACATCTTCAACTAGACCAGTTTGCTCAGTGCCCTATTCAACCTGGCCTTGAATGTGTTCAAGCAGGGGATATTTTCCATCTCTCTGGGCAACCTGTGCTTGTGTTTCACCACCTTCACTGTAAAAAACCCTCCTTGTTATATCTAGTATGAACCTTCCCTCTTTCACTCTAAACCCATTACCCCTACTTCTATAACAACAGGCCCTACTAAAAAGTCTGTCCCCGTCTTTCTTATAAGCCCCCTTTCTTACAAGCCCCCTTATTGACAGGCTGCAATAAGGTCTCCCTGGAGCCTTCTCTTCTCCAGGCTGAACAATTCCAGCTTTCTCAGCTTTTCCTAGTATTTTCTCAGCCTAAAGGAGATCTCCATGTTGTATTCCACAATAATTCAAGGGTACAGTTGGTACAGTTAGGCCAAAATTCACAAGTCTTGTAACCACAGTTCCTCTGCTCCATTCTACTTTAATCAATTAAGTAATTTGCATATATCTAACTCTGTTTTTGTGTTGGAGTGGTAATGAATGGTAATACCTTTTTCCATTTCACTCCCTGCATCTGTTATTTTCTTCTTTGTTTTGAGTGTCACCTTGACAAGAGATATCATAAAAGATATTTCACTGTCTTCATAAGCATAGCAACTGTGATAATGAAAATATTATTCAGGTATTCTTCTAGTGTCCTGTTATTCATAATGTCCCTTTTTAAGCAGTGTAGCCATAATAGGAGTTAAATATAACTAGTTTCTTCTAATTGTTTGTTGCCAGTGAATGCAATGCAATAATCTAACCAAAAGTGCTGCCAAAGGAACAGACCTGATAAAAATAGCCTATGCCTCACGCTGCCTAAGCTCTCCTGCAATCAAGAAGTTCCTTCTGTCTGTTTTCCTGGGTAGACCTAGTGCAGAATTACACTTGACCTTCTATATTAGCAAACAAAGTCAAAAGCATGGGTTTGCCACAGTTTGAGGTCAACCATTGAATAGAATACAGAGAAACTGGGAGAGAATAAAATCACAAGACCCTTTAGGTTGGAAGGGCCCTCTGGAGGTCGTTTGGTACAACTTCAGATTTGGATCAGGATGCTCTTGCCTGGTCCGGGTCTGAGTATCTCCAAGGCTGGAGATCCCACAGCCTCTCTGGACACCCTTTGCCAGTGTTTGACCAGTAAGAGCAAATAAGCTTGGAAAGACACAGAAGAGAACAGGCTCTTCTGCTTTTCAAATTAATTTTTGTTGCCAAAGAGATCAGAACCATTGTCACAGATTTTAAAAAAAACCACAAAAACAAACAAACCAGCCAAACAGTATCTTCCCTAAAATGCTTCAGGTTCTCACAGCACTGTTATGTGATGATCTACTATCCATGCTGATATATGCTGAAATCAGTGCCTAATATATCTGGGAGATAAACAATATGAAGATTAGAGAAATGGAGAAGCAGGACTGCAGCTATCTTTTTGTGAGATTCTCCTGTTAAACAGGGAAATTTCTGCATGCAGGGTTTCTCCATCTGTAAAAGAGTTTAAAAAAATACCAGCTGGTGTTGGTCTTCTGTTTCATGATCCTATATAAATGTGTACAGGTTCTACATGCTTTTATCTAAATGTTACTGACTTTAATATATCAACAGTTTTCCTGAAAAATAAGGTGAAGGGTCTTTTAAGTGGTCGAAGTAATTTTGTGTACGATATTGGTAACACTCGGAGCTTAATTGTCTGCATCTGAGTAAAAGGAGAAACAAAAGCATCTTGCACCAAGAATTCAGGATAATATTCCTAGGAGCCTTAGCATGTCTGCTTTATTTCAGCCTGGGGCAGATTTTTATGCAGTTGTCGAGCCCAGAGAATTCAGGTGGCAGAAGGAAATGCTGACACTTGGTTAAGTCAGGCACTCACAGATAAGAAGCAGAGAGGGGAATAAAACCATTTTGCATTTTAAGGGGTCTGTGAAGATGGTCCCTTTCTTTATGCTGACTCAAAATGCAATTTTCCTCTCGGTGTACATTGAATATATCTCTTGAGTGAGTTGCTCCTGCTTAGGACAACCTTCAGGCTGACCTTGCACAGCAAGTATCTTGAAACGTGATGTTTTGCTGTATTAAAGGGAACAAATAACCAGTTCTGACAGGGCATTTGAGTTCTCTGCAGTGGTACATGATAGCAGTGTTATCAACAGAGAACATCACATCCATGATCTCTCTTGTTAGCCCTTGTGTGCGCACACCGTGGCTTCAGAGGGAAACTGAGAGCTTTTAGTCCCTAATTCAGCAGAGCAGGAAGCACCTCCTAAATGAATGTGAAGCCTTTGCTTCCTTCTATTGGTATTTAACGGCATCCAGGGCCCTTTTCCAGGATAGGCGTGTTCTCGTATGCTTTGCAGCTTTGAAAGTGTGAGTCTGCTTTCAAGATTTCATAAAACTGTGTCTGAGTAATGGTGTTGACAGGAAGAATCACAGTATTTCTTCTCCAATTTAATTTTGTTTTTCTCTGTTGAATTACGATCTAGTCCTAAAACCTATGTTATATTTTGGAAGTAAAAGTGCTCCTTAGTCATTCCGTGCTTCAATATTGAAAGGCCCTTGTTTTTTTTCTTTTAGCAGAATGACTGCACAGGCTGAAAGGAGAAGACTGTGGAGAGCAGCCTTTTAATAAAGGTCCCATTACAGTTCCCCAGTCTCTTGGCTGATCCAAAAAAGTGCAGAAATGCCTGAGAATCATGCCCGATGATTCATACACTGACACCCATCTCTGATAGATTTATCACCAGCAGCTGCTTGGGATACAGAAATTTAGCAGTTTACTGTAAATGAATGTGTAATATATCATTGGCATAGATTTATATTTGTGATACCCAATTCATATTGCCCCCACCCCCTTTATCGTCTGAGCGTTTTTCTTTGTTAATTATCTGATGTGAGATTCAGCAAACTGTAAGCAAAATCTAATAGCACAAAAATCAGTGACTATGCTTTTCTAGGTAGACCAGCATTAATTCTTGCCAAAGACATCAAAAAAGAGTTCTCTCTGGCACACCATAAGAGGCCAACAGAGATCACCCATCATGCCCAACGTGATAACTTATCAAATCCAGAGATGGACAATGCTAGTAAAATCTTGTGAAGACTGTGGGACTCACACATCTACTGTCTTTGAAAATAAGTCTGTCTCTTTTTATTTCATTATAATGGCCTGAAAACTAATCAAACAAATGGATTCATCTTGTATAATTTAGTGGTTCTTAATCTTCTTTCTACTTACAATTTATAGCAGAATTTCTCTTCTTCCCAGGATCTGAATGGGCTGGGGGAAAGGAGTGAGGGTTTTAGGAAGCAATGTTATGTCCTGTTGAGTTACGTAACGGCATCTAAAATTTTGTATAATAATAGGTAAAGTGTTTTAGGTGATCAAAAGTCTTTTTTTTCTGCTTGGACACATGACTGATTTCTGTTACATGAGAGATGCTGTTGCTATCACTTTTTTTTTTTTTTCCTGGCTCTAATACCAGCAAAGAAAAATCTCACAGAGGCCATAAGAGAAGGCAGAGATGAGATTTTAAAGGGGGAGATTTTCATTAGAATATAATTTACATTAAAATGTCTTCATCTGGGAGAGAGAAGAAATTACACTCCTGAATAAATTCTGTTAAAAGCGGATATATTTTAATAAGTTTATTTGGAAAGAGTCTAGAAGATGTCATGCCCATAAGTGGAGAATTTAATAATCTAATTTATATTGCCTCAGATTAAATCTATCTATCTATCTATCTATCTATCTATCTATCTATCTATCTATCTATCTATCTATCTATCTATGTCTCAAGTGCTTGCTTCTCTCCACTACCCTATGTCTAACCCAGCCATTTTTGCCAGTGCAGTGGGAATATGAAGTACCAATTAATTCAGAATACTAGCATTTCACATGGGCTTTGCATAACTGTAAAAGGAGCTAGGTAATGGAATCAGATGTAGCCACTCATGAATAATTAGCCAGCATCTTTCCACTTAGTGTGGAAAGAAAACAAAA